AAAATGTTAAGGGCCTCAAGAAAATATAAAGACTTTGAATCTGTGTTAGTCATCCCGTCACTATGACAAATACCAGATGGGTCAAGGGTGTAGCTCAGTGGTAGGTTCTTGGCACTTGTGAGGCACTGACTTCCAACTCCAGCACCAAAAGCCAAGCCAAAGCAAAACCAACCAACCAACCAAACAACCACAAAAAAAGTCACCAAACCCACGCAAACAACAAAGGGAAAGAAAAGTCCCCAAACGCGTGAAATGATAAACGTTTATACTACAGAATCTATAAAAACAAAAGGCTCACAGTTGTGTTTATCAGTTCCCCTTCTGGCCTTGTACTAAGGCACTCGTTAGAAGCCTTATGTTAAATTAAAACCGTTTACCTTTGGTGGGAAGAAGAGGCCTGTGTTCCATATTCTTCTTCAAGATCACACCTCCATGACCTAGAGCATTTCCACTAGGCCCCACCTCTCCAAGGCTCCACTGCCTCTCAGTGAAGTCACAGTAGGGACCAAGGTTTTAAAATGTGGATCTTTGCACTTCCTTTGTCATTCAGACTGTAGCAGAAGCCAAGCCTTAGCAATCCAAATATATGAGAAAGCTTTTTTTTTAAAAAAATATTTATTTTTATATTTTTATTTGGTGTGCATTGGTGTTTGTTTCTGCAAGCATGTCTGTGTGAGGGTGCCAGACCCCTTGGAACTGTAGTTCCAGACAATCGTGAGCCGCCAGTCAGGTGCTGGGAATTGAACCCCAGTTCTCTGGAAGAGCAGCCAGTGCTCCCATCCATCTCTCCAGCCCCTGTCAAATCTTCGACATAGAGTTTTTGAGTAACTGAGGATGGTGACTCACGGACTATAGTTTACTGAAGATAGACTTAGGGACGAAATGCAGGAAGAGACTGGCAGCTGTCAGTTCTTCAGCCATAAAAACGTGACAAGCAGGAACAGTCAGCTACAGAGGAGGAGAGACTAAGCGCTGACACTAGTAAATAGAACTGTGATGTTAAGGTTGAAATATTCTTTAAATTTTTTATTTAAAATGTATATATATGGGTGTTTTGCTTCCATATATGTCTGTGCTCCACATGCAACAGTGTCCACAGAGACCAGAAGAGGGTGTCAGATCCTCCGGGGACTGGAGTTATAAACAGATGGTTATGAGCCACCATGTGGGTGCTGGCAATTGAACCCTAGTCCCCTGGAAGAGAAATCAGTGCTCTTAAATGACGGGCCATCTCTCCAGCCCCTGAAACATTTATTTTTTGGTTTTTCGAGACAAGGTTTCTCTGCATTGTCTTGGAGGCTGTCCTGGAACTTACTCTGTAAACCAGGCTGGCTTCGAACTCACAGAGATCCACCTGCCTCTGTTTCCCGAGTGCTGGGATTAAAGGCATGCACCACTAACACCTGGCTCCCTGAAGCATTCTTAATGGATAGAAGGCTTGAGTCTTAATTGCTCTTTCCAGGATCAAGCACTGTTGTTTATTTTACATGGCATCAGGTAAGGGAGAAATGGAAATAACACAGCCCAAATGAATGTGTCTTCATACACACCACTGATCAGCTCGACTGGGTGTGATTTTGCTAGTTCTCTATTAAAAAGCTGTCTCCTCCCCCTCAGGAATCTAGTCCAGATGGAAATAGCTTTCTACCAGTGAACCAACATCATTATGGAGTTTGGACAAGAAAGCAAGTTCCTTCATAGTATTGCTACAGGTCTATTTCTTTGTTCACTAAACACTCCTTTATGGAACAGTCACCATGTATAAATTACCATCAGCCAATGTTGAGAATACCTGCAATGGAGGGAATGCCAAAAGCCTTGCTCTGAAGGACCTTGCACAGCCTGGCAGGAAAAGACATGCCTCGGTGTGTGTGTGTATGTGTGCATGCGTGTGCGCGCGCGTGTGTGTGTATGTGCGTGTATGTGTGCGTGCCTACCTGCTCATGTGCATGCCAAGGGCAAAGGACAACCTCAGGTGTCACTCCTCATGGGCTATCTATTTCATTTACTATTATTCTTCTTTTAATAACCTCTTACTGACCTAGAAGTCATCAACTAGGCTGGCTGAAACTCACTTATTTCCACCCTACAAGCCTGGGCATTACATCTGGTGTAGTATTATTGTTATTGTTATTATTATTGTTGTTGTTGTTAAAAAAACCAAACCCAAACCAACTGAACAACCAAACAAAAGACCCCAAGCAATACAAAACCTAAAACCAAAAACCCACTTGTATTCTGGAGATGAAACTCGGGCCCTCACCTCTGCAAGGCAAGTACTCCACCTATTGAACCATCTCCCTGGCCCTTACCTCTACTTTTCCTTCTACTTTTATTGTTCTTGCGAAATTGTTTCTTTTGGATTGAACAGAGGAAGAGAGGGAGACGAAGAGGGGAAAGAGAAAAGAAACAACCAAGAAGGTGCGCATGACAGCGTCATTTGTGCTCTCAGTTGACTTCTGCTTGTCTGTATTGCGTATGCCTTCACATGGTTTGTGGTGATATTTTGTTTGTGCTCTAACCAATAAAGCTTGCCCAAAGATCAGAGGGTGGGACTAGCCACTAGCTAACCATAGAGGTCTGGAGATCTGTGCAAACAGTCAGGAAGTGATATGGCTTTTTTTTTGCTGGGAAGTTTAGGAAGTAAGGTGTGACTGTGGCTTGCTCCTTTGACTCTCTGATCTCTCAGCATTTACCCCTATATCTGACTCTGGGCTTTTATTATTAAGACCTATTCGAACTTGTGCTACAGTGGTTCTCATTGAAGGGGATGTTATATGCTTTGGACTATGGGGATATCTCCATCTTTGAGAGAGGTTCCTTAATTCTCTCTCTTAGATATTGAGTTTGAAGGTTCTTTTCTGTGTTTGTAACAGCAAGCATAGTCATGTAGGCATTATTATGGCATTCTGAAGTTAGTCCCATAAGATTATAATAGAGCTGCACAATTCCTATGGCCCAGTGACTTCTTAGCTGGTTGTGACCCATTACTCATGTGTTTGTGCTAATAGTGGTGAAAACAGATCTACAGTGCTGCACTTTGCCTAGAGGTACTACAGAGATCATTACTGAAGTAAATAATGCTTGATGACAAACGATTCTTACCGATTCACCTATTTATTGTGTTGAATTTTTTATTCTAGAATATATTCCTTCTATTATGAAAAACAGTTGACTGTAGGTCAGTTTGCTATATGATGCTGGCAGCACCCTCTGGTATCTTATGTTTACTGTTTCTCTTGATTGCATAATTTTGTCTTGTGTTAGATTTCATTTCATGCTTTGTTCATTTTTGGTCCCAGGAGCAATAGGCTGTTACTCCCGCCCCCATAGTGTGTGTGTGTGTGTGTGTGTGTGTGTGTGTGTGTGTGTGTGTGTTGTGTTATCCCACAGGCTGTCTGTGTAGTAGGCTACACCATCTGGGCCTATGTAGGTACACTTAACATGGTGATCCTGCAACCACTCAGGCAGCATCCCACTCTTAACCAACCAATGGCAATGCTCTCCTCTCTTCTCTTTTCAGCTTCAAGAGCCTTGAGCTAAGGGGTCACTGGAAGGTGGAAAACAGCACTCAGATTCCAAGGATAGATGGTTTGTCTTCTGAGCTCCTTGAGGGTCACCAGAGAGCTTGAAGGCAGAGCCTGTGGCCAGTCAGAACCAAAAGGGAGGTGATGAGGGACGATTCTTTTCTGAAAGCAGATTCACACCTCCCCACTCTCAAATTGGAACGGTCCTGGGAAAATGGGACAGGTGTCCCTAATCAAGGGACAGAGCTGTTTACTCAACTCAGCCGAGCAGCCTAAGGGAGAGGAAGTCTTCCTACAAAGAAAACTTAAATTTTCCGATCTAGAGGTAGTTCCTGCCAGTTGCAGGTCACAGGACCAAGGAACCTCTGCTGGCTGTCCTCTAACAGGTGACCCACTATCTGGAGCTGGTGGGCAAGTCAAAGTTCGCTCTGGAGATCACAGGCCTGAGGAAATTCGTTGTTTCTCTGCCTCTACTACCTACTTACTAAGCAAGCCATCTGCGTGGTATGTGGGTGGGGGAAGGCGGTCAGAAAGGCACCTGACACTGCTTTTCCACAGAAACTGGGTTTTGGGCCACAGCCATAGAGCATCAAGAGCATATCGAGAAAGAGCAAATCAGAAGGATTCAGACACTAACCAGTCCACTCACTCCAGTGAGTGGCCAGTCCGGGGCCAGGTCATCCACGGTGTCCCACATCCATCGGTCACTTGGCCGCCAAATATCTTTAGGAATTTTGCTTCCAAAGGGACCACCAGGCAGTGATTGACCTGCTCTGGGAGTGCCTGTACCGTGTCCAGTACACTCCGAGGCTCCCTTTAGCAGCCCCGAAATTGACGTGAGGCTGATTTTGGTGCAATGCGAATTAGCTCCAGCAGCAGAGTCGGGAGGGGACTGCCAAGCTCAGGGAGCGCCAGCTTGGGCAAAGCTGGGACCCGGAGTCAACGCCTGCCCGCCACTGGCTCCATCCAGGCCGCCGCCCATTGCCTTGACAACCAGCCCCCACCCGCCCTCCCGCACAGCAGGCTTGGGCCACCAGCTCTTGGGCTTGCACCCCGCCCTGGGCGCCCCGAATCCATGAACCGCGCATCCCCACCTTGCCCGGAGCTTCCGAGCGCCACGCAGAGGCGCCCCCCTCCTGCCCGAAGAGGGAAAGCCCGGGCGCCCCCAGCCTTGACTTCATAATAAAGCTCCCTAAAGGCTAGGGCTCCCCCGCGCGTTCCAGCGCCCGGCACCTGCCGGTTTCTCCCACCCATCCTCGCTGGGGGACTCAGGGTGCGCGGACAGCCCCGGAGCGTGCGTGGCCCCGTGGTCAAGTGCAGCACTCCGGCGCCCAGGGCACGGCGCTCCTGGGGAGGGGAGCGGGACATCCCCGAAGGCCGCCTCGCGGGAGGCGGGGAAGCTGCCGGGTGCACTGGGAGGGCGGGGAGCCCGCGAGAGGAGGCGGGCTGGGGGAGTGGGGCGGGCGGCGGGGAGGGAGCAGGAGCCAAGCAAGAAAGTAGCAGAAAGTGAGGCTGGCAGGCGGCGGCAGAGGCAGGAAGTCTGTGCCGGAGAGCAGTAGAAATTAGAGCCAGGGAGGGACCGCGGCGGCAGCAGCCAAGGCGAAAGAGGAAACTGCCGAAGAGGAAGCTCTGCCGCAGCCGGAGCCTCCCTGCGCTCCGCATCCTCCGGCTCTGCATCCCCGCGCCCGGCATTCCCCTGCGTTCGCGCCGCGCCCCCGGCGCCCCCCTCCCCAGCACACCCCCGGCTGCCCCATCGCGCTAGTCTGCCATGGCCCGGGAGAACGGCGAGAGCAGCTCCTCCTGGAAAAAGCAAGCGGAAGACATAAAGAAGATCTTCGAGTTCAAGGAGACCCTCGGAACGTAAGTGGGTGCTGGGGACCAGAGGGTGGAAGTGGCATCTGTGGCGGCAGCTTTGCATCGGTGGCTCCTGCTGCTGCCGCCCGCCACCACCACCGCCGCAGAAATTGACTGGTCGCAGCGTCCTCATTGTCCCAGGTCCGCGCTTGCGGAGACCCTCCGCGAGTCTACCGCGTGGGTCTGTGCCCACGGGTGACACCTCTCCTGGGCGGGGGAGGGGAGCGCTGGGCGTGCAGAGAGCAGCCCACGCGGGCGGGCGACTTTCTATTTCCCTTGCCACCACCGCCTTCCACCGATTTTCTCCCCACGCGTGACTGTGGGCTGAGTATGGTGGATCTCGTTGGTCGCTGGCTGTGTGCACTTACTCACTGTATTATGGACGCACTGGGTTGACGAAAGTGGTCACGAGGAAATTAAGCCTTTGGTCCTGTCCTTACATCATATAATCCTATGGAATTGACATATGCATGTACTAGAGGTAGGCAAGACTTTGGATGGCCTCAGGATGATGGGAGGGAAGAATTTCGCAGTATTCAGAGTGACTTGTGGGCAGAGCCTCATTTGAATGTATATTTCACATAGGGTCAGCGGCACGCAGTCTGGGTGGGAGGAGGGTTAGTGAATCTTAAGAGGCACTTCTCCCTGCGGCTTCACGTAGTCTCATGCTTGATGGTTACATCTCAAGAAAGCAGAAATGATCAAAAGTGTGTGTCATCAGTGCTCGGAACATGTGCCTCTCAGCACAGCTGCAGTTCCCTTCCTGCGCATGAGTTGGTTTTGTTTTGTTTTGAAGCGCCTCAGATAGGTACGAGGGCTGTGAAAGAATTCAGCGCTGCCGAATGAGTCTGAAGTTCAAGTTAAACCTCCCTCCCACACCTGATCGGTCTCTGTTTTTGATCCATCCAGATACAGTCACACACGTGCTGCATGAAAGGAGCATTTTGCTGGGGTCCAGGAGGTGTTGATGACACGGGGGAAAAGAGGGGGGTGTTTCCCTGGCATATCTGTGTGGCTGGGTGCTTTTCTTTCCTTCCTTCTGTCGTTTCAGCCCTCTTATTTCTGCACTTGCTTTGCTTTTCCAGGACCCCATTTTCAAACCAGCTCTAAACTCAAGAGTTCCACAGCTAAACATTGCTAATGATTTCCCTTCGCCGTCCCCACCTGCCTGCAATGGGTCCCCCAGAGAGAAGTTGAAGGGTGGCATTCTCAGCTGTGCACCCGGATTCCTGGGACCAGTCTGTGCAGTGTGTGCTGAGCTCTAGAACAGGGTCACCCTGCCGCTGCTGCTGTGCACCACAGAAGACATGTCTGTGCACCGACTTAGTGTCTGTGGAAATAAAACGAGGGGGCTCTTGGCTTTTCAGTAAGGAGGGTTAGTCTATTAACTCCCAGTTAAGACGTTACTTCTGTTCCAAACTTTTCAAGATTGTCATTGAGGTTTGAGGTTGTGACTTCGAGATGCACAGTTAGCAGAAAAAAAAAACAGAAATGTACCTTTTGCTTGTCCATCAGGGACTTGGCATATGGTTACAGATGGGGGATTGGAGATTGCAGAACACCCTCTTGTGTGAACATATCCCCTATGTGTCTTTTACCTGCCTGCAGAAACCCATTGCCTGCAACCTCCAGGCAGGTGGATCCGATCTCCCTTCACTGACCACACTGGCAAAGCCCCAGGACTATGCTTGCACCTCTGCAGTGGTCAGGCTGCTGAGAGGGAGCCAGCTTTGGGCAGACTACACTGTGTAGCATGCTGTTTGGGTTCTCTAGAGTGGCTTCCATTTCTGGGAAGGACTGAACTGTGACTTCATGCTGACCTGAGCTCAGGCAGAACAGCTTCATGAACTTAAGTTGTGCTCCTGTGAGCTAGTTCTTTCCTAGGGTCCCTTCTGTTTGAAAATTATTCTTTGCAAAGAAACTCTCTAGTGTAATGCTTACAGGATACCTAGGGTGATACTGGAAATACAATGATCAAGATTTTTAAAAAATTGATTGACATAATAGTATTGGTAATTGTGGTGACATTCTTAAAATCATATTAAGCGCCAGACATTTATTCTAAGCTTCTTGGGTGTATTAATCCACTTTAACTCACACACTAAATTCATGACATAATTATTTAGTACTACCATAGTTTTCAGATGAGGAAACCAAAGCATGAGAGAGATTAAGCTAATGAGCTAGCTGCTAAGTGATGGAGAACTATTCAGAATGCTAGGCAGAAGAGGCCTGTGTGTGTGTGTGTGTGTGTGTGTGTGTGTGTGTGTGTGTGTGTGTGTTCAAGTGCCCATGGAGGCCAGAGGTTAATACTGGATGTCTCCTTTCCTTGCTTCTGCCTTACACTGAACCTGGGTTTATCCATTTGGCTAGAGTGAGTGGCCAATGATCTTTAGGGATCCAACTGTACTGGGATTACAGTTGAGGGTGGCCATGCCCAGCTTTTATGTGGCTATGGGAATGCAAATTCAGATCTTCATGTTTGTGTGGCATGACTCTTTCCTTACTGAGACATCTTTCTAGTTCCAGAACAACTCTCTATGATCCTCAGTGCTGTTCAGCTACTAATAGCCTAAAAAAATGATAATTTAACCTGAGAGTAGGGGTTCAACCTGTAGCTGAGTGGTAGTGTTTACCGACCATGTGTGAGACCTGGGTTACATCCTAGGACTACAAATAATTATAAAAAGGGCTTTAGTATGTGGAAATCCAATTTTAATAAGGATACACATAAGAGAGTATTATGAATAACCTCTTATCTATATGCAAGAATTTCAAAGTCTTATCAGCATTGTATCATCTCCCTGAACTTGCTAGAAGTGGGTCCTAGTTGAGGATGTCTGGCTCAACGTGGGCCGAGGCTAGTGACCTTGGCCTGAGACTCACTGTAAGTTACTTTCTGTCCCTTCAGTTTGGGCTTTACATCTGGACTTTTATTTATAGTGAAAGTCTAGTAGCAATCAGAGGTGTAGATAAAATAATTGAAGAATTGAAGTCTATGCCCAAAGATCTGTATAACTCCAGCCACACTGTTCCCCACACTTTCACCAAACAGCTTCAAGACCCTAAGGCAGGAAAGCCCTGCCAGAAACTGGTCAAAATACTTTTGAAATAAAACATTGTAAAAACAAACAAACAAAACAGAGCTGGAGGAGGATTCAGTAGCCAGGCTTTGTAATCTTGTATTTGCCAGTCTAATCCGATATCTCCCTTATAGGCTAGAAGGTGTAATGTAAGAAACTGAGAGTCAAGGCCTTGTGTCAGTGTGATTAGAGGGTCCTTGCTGAGTAGGGGGCCCAGGGAGTGATGACTGGATCAGGAGAATTAAAGAGGAGATTGAGGGAGGGGAGAGGGACAGGCTCTCGTGCAGATATGTCTAATGCACCTTCAAGTCAGGCCCCAAGAAATGCTTTCAACCTCTAAGCTTCACTTTAGGCTCCTGCAAAGGGGGATCCCAGAACCTAACCATATCTCTGAGTGAGGTGGTGAGACTTAATTACTGTTTATTAATCAACAACATGTTTTCAGATCCTTGGCACACAGTGAGAGCAAATAAATGTTGTGTAACAGCAAATTAGAGATGGTAAACATTTCTGTTGGTGCATTTGCTAGGCTGTTAGAGCCATCTCTGCTGGAGGGTGTGTGTGTGTGTGTGTGTGTGTGTGTGTGTATGTGTGTACATGCATCTATGTGCAGATTCATGCATATGTGTACATCACATGCAGGTGTGTTGGTAGGCTAGAGAACAGTATTGACTGTTTTTCCTCAGGCCACATCACTGTTTTTTTTGTTTTTTATTCCTCCCCCCCAGACAAGGTCTCCCACTGGCCTGGAACTCACTAAGAAGGCTAGGTTGACTGGACAGCAAGCCCTAGGAACCAGCCTGTGGCCTGACTCTGCTTTTCCAGCTGATTTTCAAGAGCATGCTACCATGCCTAACATTTTTTTTTTGTTATTTCTAAAATCTTAAAGACGTGGCTACTGGGGATGGAACTCACACACTCGTGTTTGCAAGGCAAACACTTTACTGACTGAGTTATCTCCCCAGCCACAGAGATGTCCTTAAGTACCTTCTCATAAAACAGAGGCTTAACATCCACCATTCAGAGAAGAATGTAGAAAGTTTTCAGATGCCCGGCAACTCGATATTCTGTGGTTCTCTTGTGCCTGGAAGGCATTTTCAATAGTTCCTTGGGTGACTGGCGAGGTGCTGATACAGGTTAGTGAGCACATATGTTTGCCGGCATATAGTGGATAGAGGTCCACCTTGGACCCTGTTTTTTTGAGACAGGGCTTTTCATCGGCTTAGAATTCACCTATTCCTAGGTTAGCTGGCTAGGGAGCCCAGATTTCTGCCTGTCTCTACCTCTCCAGTGCTGGGTTATGAGCACCATAAGGTTCAGCTTTTACACGAGTGCTGGGATTGAACTCAGGTCCTCATGCTGGTGTAACAAATGCTGTTACCAACCAAGCGGTCTCCCCACACCCATGGAGGGACATTTTTATGGACATTCAAGCAGAGGAAGAAACAGTCCATGACAGCTGCTTACCCCGAATAGAGGGAGTAGCAATGGGTTTTTTCATTACCTAAGTACCCATTGTGGGCTGCTTTAGGAGGAGAATAAATGGATATTTCTGTGGGGCAGGAACCATCTTTCCCGCCCATCTCATCCTTACACTGCTGAAATTGCTCAATAGGCACACCCGTTGAGGACAAAAGTGATTGATTTGTCTGCAACCCTAGATGGGAAATAGATTTGCCTTTTCTTTTGGTGGTGGGGTGTCTGTGTGTATAAGGAATTCAAAACTGCCTGGGGTTGTTTGCATATTTGCACTTCTGGATATGCTGTGGATTCTAAGATCAGTCAGATTTCTAGCATCTGTGACGATCATTTGAAAGGTTAGAAAGAAAAGGGGGAATGTGAAACTTGGGTTTCTCTGGGAGGCTAACCCAGCTGCAGTATTTGCTGTTAGTTTGGATTTCTCCATTTGTTTGGAGGCATGCT